TTTTTTTTTTTTTTTTTTTTTTTTTTTTTTTTTCCCATATGGCAACTGCATCTTTATGGTCATCTTGATATCTTACTTTGGACGTCTGAGATCTTTACTTGCAAATTAGTTAGAAAAATGTTGCATCATTGTTATTTCTTTAACACTTGAAATTTAGACTGCTAATTGCAATTGGTTGAGATGGAACATAAAAGTGTCATGTTTCACAGAGCACTGCGGCATATGGAGGGCACAGACAGTAGAGAAACGCACTATCACGTCAGTGATAAAGCGAGCAAAGCACGATAAGTGATTTACTCGACTCTCCACAAAAAAAATCTGGATTTTCTCCACTTGCAAGGAACTTACTACACCAGTCCTCTGCAATCATATTCTAATGACTGTGTAATGATCCACCACAATGTGAATAAAATGTGCTCGACACTTGGAAGATAGATTGCTAGGCTAAATTGAGGGCGCTAGGTATCCCCACTTATAGGAACGGTGTGATAGTGCACCTATCAGCAGTGGAAGAAGTCTACTATTAGAGGAGGAAAACGTCACTTTTTTCATATCCATGACTGAGTGGATAGGTACACAGAAGCCTGACTTCAAGTTTGATGAATTGTCAGGGGATAAAGAGGTAGTTATTAGAATACCATGTTCTCATTAAAAAATTTGAGCTCATGCATCTAGTGCTTGATATGCTTGGTTTATCATGCATAATGATAAGTGTGCCTAGACGTTTCTTTATAACTTATTTCGCATGTTTAGTGGCTTATTCTTGTAATCCTTGTAATTACCTATGTGGAAGATGCCTTTACCTTGGGCCTAATTTCGTGATTTGGTGTTTCTGAGGGAAAATATAGACATTCTTGCTTTTTTATTGGTCTTTTGTTCTTGTTCTAGTTTAGATTGCTTTGATTCAATGTTTAATATTTCTGTTGGCTGGCAGAAACAATTAGTTGCAGATCTAGTAAAGATACAACATGATGGGACTGTAGAAGTTGATATCGAGAAAAATGCCCCTGCTGCTTCAGAACTCTTGAAGCTTCATCCTACCTTGAAAGGGTCATCTCCCAAAGTTGATGACATCATTCCTGAGTCCATCAAATTGATTCCAAGGCTGAACATTGCAATACTTGTTGTTGGAACAAGAGGAGACGTGCAGCCGTTCTTGGCCATCGCAAAGAAGCTTCAGGCATGTTTGAAGTAGTTTATTAGTTTTCACTACCTGCACTTTATTTTTAGTCTTTCTGTTTCACCATTTTTTTTTGAACTCGTGATCTGGCTGTCATTGAACTATGGTTGTCTATTGATCTTAGAGGTGCAAGTGAGTTAATTTGTCGATAATTTTTCAACTGGATTTTGTCTACACAAATTGTTAAAGAAAATTTTGTCATCATGAAATTATTACGATAGTGAATTGCCCTGATTGGAAGAGGTGCTGGATTTGCCTCTTTAGCAATGCATCTAGAGTCTGTATCTCAAATGTTCAATTTCAGGGATTAATTGGAATAATTTTTTAATCCATTTCCCATTACTAAAAAATCGAAGTTATAAATAAAAAATCATTGTGGTTCATGCTCTGTAGTGATTTCTTCTTCATGTTTTTTTTTTCTTTTCTTTTTTTGTTAACTCTGTATAATTCTCTGAGCTTGCTTGCAGGAATTTGGCCATCGTGTTAGGCTTGCCACTCATACTAATTTCAGAAACTTTGTGAAGTCTGCTGATGTTGACTTTTATCCTCTGGGTGGTGACTCTCGTGGTTTGGCTGAATGTAAGATGCCCTAAATTTTAAAGACTTATATGCACTATGTCTTACACACTTCTTTACCTATTCTTGATTGCATAATTATTATAGAATTCATTTGATAAGCGACCAAATATTTTGATAAGTGAAACAAAATTTTATTCAATTAGGGCGTTAGACAAATTTTATCTCCATCTTCTGAAAGTCTGTTGGTTATTGATGCTTTTGAATATGACCAATTATGTCAGAAGACATCCATTTTGACATTATTCAGTTCATAAAATGAAGTCCTGAATATGATATATTTTCATTCTTTGTATTTGACAGAATGGCTATGATAAAATTCAATTACATCTTAAACTATACCATGGATCACCAGAATATCTACTCGTTTGTAATTTCATGGCCACTGATTGAGCAGAAGCATCTTTTATTCCTCCATTAAAGAAATCCTATGATCTTGCAATGTGTCAAGACTGATATTGTAGCTACTGCCCATCAGAAGCTCTTTAATAAATTTAATAATCCATGAACTTTCTTGACTTTGTTTAGATCTTTCTACATTTGAGTTTGATATCTTGATTTACTCATTCATGTCTTCTTTGAGGAACTGACTTTAATTTCATTGATTCAATTAAATTTAATAAACAAACGCCAAATGACAGAGACCCTCTACAAATTGGTGCGAGTAGTCGCAAGACCACAATTACCAAACTCTTGATGGGGAGACCGCCAAGAGGAGAAAAGAACACTATTGCCCTTAAACTCCCCCATTGATGAACTCAACCCTGAAATGTTATTCTATTTTTCTCTAGTCATGCTTCCTTAACAGTAACTCTAATTGCATTGAGCCACAAAGTTTAGCTGTCCACACAAGAGGAAAACCTGTGCAAATGGAAGTGATAAAAAACTCTCCTAAATAAAAAATGAAAGGTCGCTAAAGGTAGGTAATCAATTCATTTCTCTTGTCCGCTTGGACATCTTGGTTGACTCTTGTCCCTGAGTATTTAATCCGCCCAATCCAGACTTTTTTTTAAAAAGATCTTACGATAAGGACGACTCTCTTAATCTCTTAGCTATCTGTTCTTCAAATATGGATGTTGAGAGAGGGATTTAAAGAAATAGAAAGGTGATCTATCGCTTCAATGATATACTCATTTTCTATTAACTATGAGATTCTCATGGAGGTTCTTGTGACAAGGAAAAAAGTTTGCTATTACTATTATAGTTCTCTAATTATGTCTGATATGGTTTAGTATAATCATTAGAGTTTTCTCTCTTCTTATCCAAAAAACAATAATAATATAATTGAACTTGCTTTCTTACTATTGTCTTTTTATTTTCTTTCTTTCTAGTTGCTTGTCGTGCATTAATGATTTTGTAAAATTCAATTTTAGATATGACCAGAAACAAGGGTTTCATTCCGTCTGGACCGGGGGAAATATCTGTCCAAAGGAAACATCTAAAGGTCATTATAGAGTCCACACTTCCTGCTTGCACCGAACCAGATCTAGAAACTGGGATGCCTTTTAGGGCTCAGGCAATTATTGCAAACGCTCCTGCTTATGGTGAGTGATTGTAGGCAAAGTTAAGCATCTCACTTCAATATCATTCTTCAGGTGTGTTTTCCAACAGATGCACATCAACCATTTGAAATATTTCTTGATGTCTTACAAGTTTTATTGAAAACAGGTCTGGGTCATCAGTATCATTTTTGTTAGTTGCTTTTTGACTTTTTTTTTTTTTTTTTTTGAAAGGTTAGTTTTCAAATTTCATATTGTGCTTATTTAATTTGTGGTGCAGGGCATACACATGTTGCTGAAGCTCTTCGTGTACCTTTACATATCTTCTTTACAATGCCTTGGACGTAAGTTGATTATAATTGTCATATTGTGCTGATGTTGATAGTTTCTAGTACACATTTTGGGAAGAAGATTCCAGTTCTAATCTTGTGGAAAAGAAATATCAGTGACCTTCCTTTTAGGATTTCTCATGGAGTGCTTGGTTTGGATTATGTTCACTTTTTTTCAAAAATAAGAAACAAACACATTTACTAAACCCAAATACAAAAGAGGGCGATAGTGAATCTCCCAAGCAGCCATATAGCTTGCAAAACGGCACTGCACTTGATCGAATGGAAAATTTGGACATAGTTATAATGAAGTTTGTATACAATGCACTATCTTGCGTCTGAGTGTCTAAAAAGATCCAAATCTCTTGGAAACTTCAATTATTCTATTTGAAGATTCCTTTATTCCTCCCATCCATATCTCCCAAACTGAAAGGATGGCTTCAATAGCATTGGACAAAAGGACTTTTGAGTTTGGCTTCTATTCAGCGATTTGGATTACATTCATAGGAAAATCAATCGCTCTTTTACACACCTCATTCCATATTTCTCAACTTTTTTTTTCTCTTTTACATACCTCAGTATGAAAAAAAATTGTTTTGATAGCTGATGGTGAGGTGTATTTTACCATGCAACAACCTAGACAATGCTATTGACTGGGTAGGTTGATCTATGAGGAAGCTGTTCTTAGTTGCATAGGTTGGGCAGGCCAAAGGTTTAAAGAAGGAAAAAGGACCTAGAATTCTTTAAGCTTATATCTGGTTATTGTCTGCTAATTTCTGAATTAAATCAATATGGATAAAAATGTAAGATCACTTCTTCTTACGTTTTCTATTGATAGGCAGGCCAACAAATGAATTTCCCCATCCATTGGCACGTGTACCCCAAAATACAGGTTATTGGGTACGTACTCTTGTTTGGAGCCTGAAATCTCTCTCTCTCTCTCTCTCTCTTTCTCTCTCTCTTGTAATAGCAAAATTTTCTTTCCATGAGTCAGCTGTTTAGCTGATTTCACTAGTAATGATGTTCCATCACCATTATTGCATTATCCAGATTTCTTATATCATTGTGGAACTACTGATATGGTGGGGAATAAGGGGTTCCATTAATGAGTTCAGGAGGAAGAAGCTGAATCTTGCTCCCATTGCATATTTTAGTACGTATCGTGGATCAATTTCTCATTTGCCTACAGCCTACATGTGGAGTCCTTCCGTTGTGCCAAAGCCAAAGGGTACAATGCAATCTCTGAATTAAATAAAAAAATTGAAAAATTATTTTTATTCATCTTTTTTTTTGGTGTTTATTATGCCTTTGCTTACTTTTTCTTATTATTTACTGTATTTGAAGGCCTTACATAACGGGGATATTGTAAGTATCAATTGAATCTACATTAATGATTAGTTAGTCAGTAATTGGATGGATGGTCTGGGCTAAGCCATTAGGAGAGAGATCAATTGAAATTTGGCAAAGTAGCAACACGTTCTTCTCTAATTGCTGGATGATGTTTTTTGAACAATTTTGTAACTCTCTGGACAAGTGAGCTACGAAGGAAAACCTTGGATTCTGTCATGAGTGCTCCTACTGGGCTTCATTTCTCTCATTCATTGCAATCAAATTTGCAGTGGTTTTCACTGTCGAGACTTGGTATTTATAGCAAGAGATGATCAAAGAGATGACCACCCAGTCAAATCATCATCCTCCGCTTGCTTCCATCTCCAAGTCGTTGGATGTGGGTGGATTTAACAATCCTCATTACTGGGCACAGGGATCCATTTTGGTCTGAGATCTATAGCTTAACTGAAGTTGAAAACTGTACTCCACCATTATGCTACGAATCATGTTTACATTTGTAGTCTAAAGAGAACAGATTCTACTCAATTCGGGCCAATAGGCATTATCAAGGAGCAGTAAGATTATTTAAGAAGGAAACAATTAGAGATTGGCTTGGAAGGATTATCTGGTTGGGGTGTTCAAAATTGATGTTCGCTTAACTTTTAAACTAGTTTTTTCTTTTGGTATTCTATTCCGAACATGGAAGTAGAGAACCAAATAGAAAAAAACCTCTTTGGTATCTGTCTTCTTCATTCACTATTTTTACCTCTTTGCACAAAATTTAGTGACCATTATTCATATGAATTGCATATTGTTTTTTAGAACTTGAACTTTGTCTTCTTTTGCTCACCTTTTCTTTTACAAGTTTAGGATGTCTTACGTCATTGCCAACTCTGATTTCTACCTATATTCTTAGTGTGTTGTGCTTTGAGTTTCTGAATACATATAATTATGTTTTACACATATGGTGCAACTTATTTGCAGATTGGGGGCCTTTAGTTGATGTTGTTGGCTATTGTTTTTTGGACCGTGGATTCAAGTATCAGCCTGAAGAGGCGGTCGTCCAGTGGATTCAAAAAGGAACAAAACCCATATATGTAGGATTCGGGAGTATGGTATAGTGACCTCACCACAATATATGTATTTTTATAACATTGTTGGTCAAATCTCAAATGTCATGGACTCCATTTTTCTTGCAATCATTGGGTAGGATCCTTGGTTGTAAGTGTATCATTTTAAAATTCTTTGTTAGGAATTTTAGGGGAGTGTTAAAAAGTATTGGTAAGAGATTATAGTTACCCTAACCCAATAGGCACTAGTTTAAGCTTTGGAGTTAAATATTGATTTAACATTTCTTAATTACTATTCAATGTGCCCATTGATTTTTCTTATGAATGTTTTTCAAGTATGTGAACCCATGGCGTAAAAGCTATTGAACTTTTACTTTTGCTTGATCAGCCTCTTGCGGAGCCTCAGAGGACAACTGATATCATATTGGAGGCATTAAAGGAAACAGGGCTAAGAGGGATAATTGACCGGGGTTTAGGAGGCCTAGGAAATTGTAAGTGTATTATTCTATCTTACATTTTAAATTTATTCCATTTAATGGTTGTATTCTACCTCTCTGCACTGCTTTTAGTTACTGTGGACACTCTATACCTATCTTTTCTTAGACACCACAAGCTATGGATTTGATACTTGCCAATAGTGGGAGTAGTTTAGTCTGTCGGTCTAGCGAGAATGTGTATCAATAGTAAAACATATTGTTTTCATTTTCATCTGATTGTCTCCCATTTATGCCTTCTGTTTTCTCGGTTCTCCTTGTTTCTTTCCAGTTACTGTTCCTTCATGTTCATCCAAATTCCTGGAATCAATTTTAACAAATTTATTTTAACGTCAACTTTCCAATATCACTGTAATATCTGATTTTAGGCAACAGGATATGATGGGATATCAATCATTACCAAGAGCTTACTCGCTAGAAGTAACGGCGTGAAGTGAAAATCTTTCTCCAATAATAGAACTTGTCGAAGGATTAGCTTTTAAGTCTAGAGATATTTTTGTAATTCATGAGTTGGTAACCAAGTTAAGAATGAATGATATCTATAGTTGACCCTCCTAATTTATCTGGTTGGATTTATAGGATTATTATTTAGATTTAGTTATTTAGCATCGGTTTAGTTACCTAGTATCTAGGGATTATTATTAGATTTAGATTACCTAGTATTTAGAGAATTTGATTTAGATTTAGTGAGTCTTTCCTTAGAAAGGGATAATATTATTCTGATCCTGTTAACTATGATAGCTTTGGAGATTGTAGCCATGCGGTTTAGAGAGAAGTTCCTGAATAGAATTGTCTTATACAGGTATAAATGTTCCTGAAAATGTACTCCTTGTACAAGACTACCCCCATGATTGGCTATTTCGTCGATGTTCAGCTGTGGTGAGTGCTACTTACTTTCTAAAACATTATCTTTCATGAAGTAGATTCCGAAGGCTCATCACTTCCCTGAATTTTTACTGCTCTTGTAACTTTCACAGCCCACCCTCAACATGCATTATTTTTGGAGGAATTGGCTCATCACTAGGAAATCACTTTAAAATATGTTTTCTTAAGGGATACTGTATTAATGCATAGTGATCTATTTTATATTATATCTGGGGCTGCAGGTTCATCATGGTGGTGCTGGAACTACGAGCACAGGACTTAAAGCTGGGGTAAGAACTGTCTAGATGATTCAGTTCTGATGGGAAATTTGTTTTATGAGTTCTGATTTTAAAATTCAAAATTCAGTGCCCTACGACCATAGTACCGTTCTTTGGAGATCAATTTTTCTGGGGCGAGACAACACATCAGAAGGGCCTTGGACCAATACCGATCCCTATATCTCAGCTAAACGTCGGGAATCTATCAAATGCTATAAATTTTATGCTCCAGCCTGAGGTGGGATTGTCAATAACGATTGTTCAAATTGATAGATGTAGGCTTTCAACTTAAAGTTGGAAAGAATGTTCGGTTTTTTCTATGCATATTGGATCTTAATGAGAATCAAATGAACCAGGTAAAACGTCGAGCAGCTGAAATAGCAGAACTTATAGAGAGCGAGGACGGGGTTGTAGCAGCTGTTAATGCATTTCATCATCATTTACCTCCAGAGTTGCCTCTTCCACCTGTATCTGTCGACGAGGAAGACTTCGGAAGCCCTCTCCAATGGCTTCTTCTAAAAGTGGAAAAGTGGTGTTGCCTTCCTTGTGGTCTCAGGTTTTGATCTGCAATGCTATTGTAGGTATAGGTACAGAAATATGTTCTTCTCATTCTTAGTTTTTGTATTTCATTCATTCAAATACATTATTCATAAAGCTTGCTAGATGAAAATAAAATATCATGTTCTTGTAGCATTATGTCAATGGTAGTTCATAATAAGCAAAATGTAAAGATTTAAGACATAGATAAGCATAAACTCATAATAGCTAGAAGCCCACGATTAAGATCCCTTTAGTTCTCAAGGAGCAAGACCTTCAGGCTCCATGGATGGTGGCAGTGGAGGTGAGGGTGGCGTTGGAGGTTTGCTACTAGTAGTGTCACAATAGACCTCTAGAATGTTGCCTTCTTCCACTGTGTATCCCAATGAGCTGAGTAATGTTGGCCAACACTTATGCTGGATGATATCGATTGAGTGGCAACATTTGGGACTTAAGTGAATCTTTCCATTAAGAAAGAATGTGATAATTTCGCTGCTACATGCTTGGAGTTGAAACAGAGATCCCCAGCATTCTGAGGCATTGCCTTCTACCTTCAATCGTGTCGCTATCCTTACTGTTGGGTTCCGCGTCGACTCCGCCATGGATGAGAAGGCGAAAACTAGAAGACATGTGAGAATGAAGAGGTTTGGAAGGTAGGCCATTTGGTAATTGGATGACAAGGAAGCTAAGTTTCTTTGTTTGCTAGTGTTTTCTGTAGTGTAGGGTTTATATAGGGAAGGATTCTGTTTATTTTCTGTACTTTGGAAAAATGAAGGGATTTGGTTTATTTATGAAGTGAATTGATGAGTTTATGTAACTCCCCATTATAAGTGGTGCCCCCTAATTAATTATCTTTAACAGCTAATTAACTCTATCAATCACAATCATTTAGACATCTTGTTCTCTTTGCAGTTTCTTTTATTCCCTTCTTCCTTTGAGCTTCTCAACCTTTCAACTTTTGCTACCTTTTAAGAGCATTCAAAGTGTACTTTTGAACTGTTGTAGGATGGAAGATCGGAGATGATAATGAGTGTTTTATCTACTAAATTACACTCGAATTGAATTCAATCATTGCAGGATGGGAAATCGAACCATTGTTTGTGACAACTCAAGCCCACCGTAGCAAATATGGTTCTCTTTAGACTTTTCTTTTCCGGCTTTCCCTTAAGATTTTTAAAACGCATTTGTTAGGGAGAGATTTTCACACCTTTGTAAATAATGCTTCGTTCTTCTTCCCAAGAGAATGAAACATTTTTTTATAGGGGTGAGGAAACCTCTCCCTATCAGATGCGTTTTAAAAACCTTGAGGAGAAGCACGAAAGGGAAAGTGCAAAAATCTACTTCCCATTGTCGAATTTTTATATGTTAATTGGTAGTTTATTGTTGATTGAAACAATAATTATCATTAATTGCATCTTAAGGAAGGTACAAAACGGCCCTTGGGGTTTTAATTTAATCATGATCATTGCTTCACGCTTACCAATATGTTAATCAATATATCATATCTGTGAGATAATTGAGTTGTTTAATTTAAAAAGATTAATGGAGCTCATATGCATCACCTTTCACAAATTTATACCAAAAAACTATGTTAAAGCAACTTTGCATTACCAAAAAATATATTAATTAATTAATTAATTATCTTCTCTTATGTTAATTAAACACCATTATATATCACTAATGAACATTTAATTCTCTCTCTAAATCATGGGTTATTGCCCACCATCTCCCTCTATTTAAAATCAATCTTATTTGGGGGATTTGATCTTAAAGAATCAAACTTTATTTTGTTTCAGATTATAATACATATAATTTTGTAATCATTACATTATATTATACCTTATACTAAAAAAAAACCCAATATTTGGTATATAAATTCATGTGTTAGAGAGAAAGAGAGCCATTTTGTGGGAATCCATGGAGGAAGAACCGCCATTGAAGAGGAAACTCAGAACCCCACCATGAAAATTAGGGCAAAGAAGGTGAAGAAGATGAAGAAGAAGAAGATTGAAGGTTGATTGTGGATATTTGTATATGGTGCTCACTTCTCGTAAGTCTGTCACACTATTTCTTGTATATATATTTTATTATATAGTTTATTTAATCCTTACTTGTATTTGAATTACTCGATGAATTTTTTTTAACTTATGGGTAAGAATACATGTTAATTACTGTTGAGTTATGCTTATTTTGATTATCCGATGAAAAAAATTGAACAATAAAAAAACGACACTCGAACAACATTTCGACTTATACACAATTACACATGTTCAAAACATGGTTTAGTATTATAAATGTAATAACATCTTTAAGAACGTGAAGATGAGAAAGAATAAGTTAACTTACACGTTTAGAGTTTAAAGTTTTATTAGACATAAAATTTAAAATTTTTACGATAGATTAATTCATTGTTTTAAATTTTAAATATGTTTATTAAGATTTGAACAAATGGGTCAGATTTGATTGCTATATTTTAATACCATAATTTGCAATCATTAATCTTAGATAGTAAAAGTTAACAATAATCATCATTATATTAAAATAATTTTTAATAAGCACTTATTTTTTATTTTGAGTTTAATACGGGTGAGAGTAAGAGATCGAACTATCAAGCTTCAGAAAAATAATTCATGTCTTAATCTCCCGAGCATGTTTGAAATTACGCTTTATGTAAAATTTCACATGGGTTAGACAAGAGAATGAAGCATTCCTTGTAATCTCTCCATAGCAGACGAATTTTAAAATCATGAAGCTGACGATAATACGCAACGAAGCAAAATGGATAATATATGTTAGCAATGGACTTCAGCTATTACAAATCGTATTAGAGCCAAACACTGGGCAATGTGCCAGCAAGGACGCTGAACCCCCCAAGGCGGTGGATTGTGAGATCTTACATCGGATCGAGAGAGGAACGAAACATTTCTTATAAGGGTGTGAAAACCTCTTCCTAACAAACACATTTTAAAATCGTGAGGATAACAACGATACGTAACGGATCAAAGAGGATAATATATGTTAGCAATGAGTTTAGACGGTTACAAATGGTATTAAAGTCAGACATCGGGCGGTGTGCCAGAGAGAATGCTAGGCCCCCAAGAGGGGCGGATTGTGAGATCCCACATTAGTTGGAGAGAGGAACTAAACATTTCACCCTAGTAGACGCGTTTTAAAACCTTGAAGCTGATGGCGACACATAACGAGCTAAAGCGGACAATATAAGTTAGCAATCAGTTTGAGAGGCAGAAAGAAATTGTTCTAATTCTTTGCAGTGAGTGAGAGTTTCTAATTTGATACAACAAAGTGCATTCAAATCACATCATCCTGTTTCTTCTTTAGTGTTGGGTGTCTTTCTTGGTCTATTCACATGCCAATTTAGTGTCAAAGCTGCTGAGACATATAGCAAAAGCCTGGAATGCAGACAGCGGATATCGATAATCCATCGTAAACATGTCCTTACTGACCTTTCCGAACTGAAGAATGATCTTGTCGTGGTCGGAATGCGTAGGTTGGGCGGGCTGTGGAGGTGCCTGTGATGCTGCTGCTGCCGCCACTTCTGCACCAGGTGAGGTTGCAGCAATCAGCTGAAAGTTCTTTACCGATGCAACCGTCACCCTCCCACGAAAATTGAGACACCAACACTGCAACTGCTCATGCCATCTAGGCGCCTTGTTCCGAAGAACCAAGGGTCGATCCTTCCCCTCGCCATCTTCATTAGCAACCATTCCTGCAACATCAGAGAAGCGGGAGCTGCTGAACTCGGTGGAATGATCGATCGACTTGGAGAATGACATGCTACGAAATGAGTCTTCGAGGGGGCGAGGATTGAGCTCGGGCTGGCCTGGAACTGAGCAACCTGGCTCAAGAGATGAATTGGGAATCGAGTACATGGTGCAGTTCATCCTTCGGGGTCCCCTTGTACCTAATACGTTCAACTCGTATGCAATTTGTGCAATGCTGTAGCTTCCAGCTGGGACCTTCGGCGAGACCTTTTTCGAGTAGAATCTTCGGCTTCGGCCAAGCGTCGGGATTTGGTTGCTGTTGTAAGGAGGCTGTGTATCATATATAATGAACTTGGTTCCCAGAAAATTTGATCTGAAATAGAACCAACCACAGTTCAGTTACATATAATGAACTTGACAGTTAAAGGTTCATCAGCAGCATACCTTAGCTTTCCGATATAACCATTGCTCGATCTTGATATATCGTCCGCGGCCAACGATATTACGTACTCTGTAGAAGTAGTTCGCCTCGTTCTTTTTGCAGAAAGAAGAAATTTCCCATTTTCAACAAGTAAAGCTGCATGATTATGCAATGGTTTAATGTTCAAAACATCATGTGCAGGGCTAGATAGAGCAACTAAAGGAAATCCTAACACGGAAGCGGTTTTCGTCAAGCCAAACAGAAGTTCAAATGTTCGAATCAGTCAACTCATTTCTAATATTAGAGTTTTGTGGTAAGAACTCGATAGTACGAGCAGGCAAAACTTGTATAAACGTTCAGTTTCTCATTGAAGACCGACATGACAATTCTCCACAATTATGTTACAGTTCTCACGGAAAAAGCTAGTTTCTTTTCAAACGTACAAGTAAAATTGGTTTTGAGTCATGCCCGAGACTTTTTCAAGCTTTTTATGTGAGATCTCACATCGGTTGAGGAGGAGAACAAAACATTCTTTATAAGAGTGTGAAAACTTCACCCTAACAGACGTGTTTTAAAAACCTTGAGGGGAAGCCCGAAAGAGAAAGCCTAAAAAGGACAATATCTGCTAGGAGTGGATTTGGGCTGTTACGAATGGTATGAATGGTATGAGAAAGCCTAAAAAGGACAATATCTGCTAGTGGTGGGTTTGGGCTGTTACAAATGGTATGAGAGGTAGACACTGAGCGATGCATCAGCCTCCTGGAGGTTGAGTCACGAAGGGGAGTGGACATGAGGCGGTGTGCCAGTAAGGATGTTGGGCCACGAAGGGGGTGGATTGGGGGTCCCACATCGATTGGAGAAGGGAACGAGTGTCAGCAAAGACGCTGGCCCCGAAGGGAGGTAGACTGTGAGATCCCACATCGGTTGGGGAGGATAACGAAACGTTCTTTATGAGGGTGTGGAAACTTCTCCTTAACAGACACATTTTAAAAACCTTGAAGAGAAACCTAAAAGTGAAAACCCAAATAAGACAATATCTGCTAGCGATAGGCTTGGGCCTTTACAATTTCGATATTAACCCGTGACCGTGCTAAGCCAAGGTATAGAACGTGGCAAAGAAACAAGGAATTTAAGTTCATAATTGTAGAAAATAAAAGAAAGATTTGCTTTTATCGAGCAACTCGAATGTGTTCATTCTGCTTAGTTAAGAAAATGAGCTTACCAGGACTAAGGCAGAGATAAAGATGATAAGTTAAATTAGATTTGTTCCTCTTGATAAAGCATTGAATAGTGCCATCACGTGGCCCAGGCTGCAAACAAAAAAAAGTGCATCTCAGCATGGTTAAGCTATAGATTAGTGCATGTTGCTATTTAGACATTGAGCAGTCAAGCATACACGTATGGTCTGAGCACGACCAAGAACATGGCAATCCACCACAACAGAGTAAAACCACAATCATCATAAACAATTCCGTCCTAGAGTGAACGGCATTCAGGAAATACTTTAAAAAGTTAACGTAACAGCTCAAGCCTATCGCTAGTAGATATTGCCCCCTTTGGGCTTTCCCTTCTGGGCTTCCCCTCAAAGTTTTAAAACGCGTCTGCTAAGGAGAGATTTCCACACCCTTATAAGGGATGATTCGTTCCCCTCTCCAATCAATGTGAGATCACCGGGAGGTGTGCCAGCGAGGACGCTGGCTCCCTTGTGAGATCTCACATCAGTTGGAGAGGAGAACGAAGTATTCCTTATAAGGGTGAAGAAATTTCTCCCAAACAGATGCATTTTAAAAACCTTGAGGGGAAGCCCAAAAGAGAAACTCCAAAGAGAACAATATCTAGTAGTGTGATTTAGACGGTTACAATTATGTACATCCACATAAGGCAGCTAAAAGAGTGTGAAGTACACAAAACAGAATAGTTATTCTATATGAACATAGCTTCACAGCCATTAAAAAGAAAAGCGTCTACCGACCTGCTTCAAGGCGATCGGGAACGTAATTTTCCCAGAGAACTCGGGACTTTTGACCATTTCTTTGCACATGTCCCTCCATGACCTACAAACAGCAGCACAAGCAACAACATTTCTCCGAGAAGGCCAAGTATTCTCACTAGCCTCCAGTCTTCGAACCACATCGCATAATAACTCGGGCGGAAGGCTAGCCCATCGGCTAGTCTGAATTAGCAGAGGTTCATCATGAAACTCATGAACTGGTCCATGAGATTTACCCCTAGAATTTCCAGACAGCCTCACCTCAAAACTACGCCTCGATAAGCTTCCAAATCCATCCCGCACATCACGAAGTATGCTACGGAATGACATCTACCCCGTTCGACAAAAGGCGCCTAGTGGTGTTAATGTATCGTCGAGGAGAGGGTACAAACAAAAAGGTGCTTGAAGGATGACCAGAAATCCATCTGCAAATCCACTGAGCATCGATTGGTTTCCATCTGCTATACTTAATAAGTAAGAAAGAAAAGGAAGGAGAGATATATAGTAAAGCAAAAAGCAAGGAAAGAAGATTCTTCAAAAGAACATAAAGCAAACCTCACATGGACCTAAAGCGCATAAAATACCGCTCTTTTGTTGGTTCTATCTTTTGTAACAAACTCCTTGATATCAAACTTTCTCTATACTAACATAATATTCAAATATGGAATCTTATTACCAGAAAGAACCATACTAATACTCATGAACAATCCAAAAAATCCATGAAAAAAGGTGCATCCACCACAATATCATGAAGTTTCCCGAGCTCGTTTGATCAGTCAACACTAATTCCGGATAAGAACTTTCCTAGAGATTGAAGTGTAATGGCCCAAGCCTACCGCTAGCCAATATTGTCCACTTTGACCCATTACGTATTGTCGTTAGCCTCACAGTTTTTAAACGAGTTGGCTAGGGAGAGGTTTCCACACTCTTATGAGAAATGCTTCGTTTCTCTCTCCAAATGATGTGGGATCTTACAATCCACCCCGCTTAGGGGTCCAACGTTCTCGCTGGCACACCGCCTGTTGTCTGGCTCTAATACCATTTGTAACAGCTCAAGCTGACTACTAGCCGATATTGTCCGCTTCGGCTTGTTACATATCCCCATCAACCTCACAATTTTAAAACACGTCTGATAAGGAGAGGTTTTCACACCCTTATGAGGAATGCTTTGTTCCCTCTCCGACCAATGTGAGATCTCACAACCCACCCCTCTTGAAGTCCAACGTCCTTGCTGGCACACCGCTTGGTGTTTGGCTCGCTCTGATACCATTTGTAACAGCCCATGCACACTGCTAGCTGATATTGTCCACTTTCACTCGTTACGTATCGCTATCAGCCTCACGGTTTTAAAACACATCTACTAGGGAGAGATTTCCACACCCTTATGAGGAATGTTTCATTCCCCTCTCTAACTCACAATCCACCCCCTTTGGGGTTTAGCGTCCTCGCTGGCACACCACCTGGTATCTGTGACTCTGATACCATTTGTAGTAGCTCAAGTCCACCACTAGCCAATATTGTCCACTTTAGCCTATTACGTATCAACATCAGCCTCACGATTTTAAAACGCATCTATTAGGGAGAGATTTCCACACCCTTACGAGGAATACTTCGTTCTCCTCACCAACCGATGTGGGATCTCACATGAAGATTCCAGTATTTCAACATTCAGTTATGTGTCCTTTACTTCGATTCAACTCGATAATTGGAAGAAAGTAACGAAAAATATAAAGATGAACTGAAAAAAAGAAGTGGGAAATGAAAAATCTGATTCTAAACACTGATCAGATAAACTAGGAAGAACAAGTGCAAAAAACAAGCCAAAAAGACTAAAGAACAACCCTAAATGATACTCAAATACAAAGAGTTTTACCACTAAATCTCCCACAGATCGATAAGGAACACAGGAGCCTTCCAATGAAACACTGCAACAATGGTATCATCTAAACACAAACTAAATCCAACAGAGAATTCCAATAAAATTGAAACAAAATGGGCATAGATTTCA